TTCCCGCCTCGGGGTTCCTCGGATGGGATCGCCGCGGCGTTCTGGTTCCTCCCGCGACCGTGTCTCGCCGGGGATCTGGTTCGCTCCCGCGTCGCCTGCGGGCGGTGTCTCTCCAGCCGTGGCCGGCGGTTCCTGGGTCGAGGTGAGGGGCTCCTTGAACCTCCGTTCTGGTCTTCCCGCTGGTGGTACCTCGGGGGGCCGACACGTTCCAATGCCCCAATTCTAGCATTTTGTTGGAACAGCAGCTGGTTCGTCTGGTTGATGGCCGTAAAGAGAGCGGCCACCGTCGGGTCTGCTCCCGCCGGGATGGGAACGGGGTGGAATGCTGGCGGGCTCGGGGGGCGGAGGTCGGTCCGTAGGGGCCGTTCCCCGGATGAGGGTGAAGCAGTTTGCCCGTCCCTTTCGTCGGCTTCCGTCAGATGCGCCGTTCCTGCCTGTTTCCCGTTGGTGGCGGTGTTGACCGCAAGGTCGTGCGGGGTGTCATCGCGGCGTGGGCTGGCCATGATCGTGGAGGTTTGGTGAAACTTTTGGTTTTCTGCTCGGAGTAACGGGGAAGTTTCAGGTTCCCACAGACGGCGCCACTGATCTGACCTGATCAGGAGGGATCACGGACTGGCCACACTCCGCTGGACGGTTATCTGTTCGCCGGGGTAAGAAAGAGGAGGGGGGTGTACCTGCAAAGCACTCCGACGCCCAAGTAAGAAGTTGGACAGAGAGGAAGCAATAGTACAGAAAAAGGGGCAAGAAGAGTTACCTGACCCTCTTGAAGAAGAGGGTATTTATAGAGAGACCCCAGCGCTGGGCCAACGGTCATTCGGGGTGGGCCGGACGACCGGGCCCAACCCTAATGACTGCTAGGGCTTACGTGGCGTAGAGAAGACCAGGACGTGGTCTTCGCCCTAGTTCAACCGCTCCTAGGTCTCCGGAAAGTGGGTTTGACCTGCTCTTTCGGAGGTGGGCGGTTGGCCGATGACGTGTCCCCGCGGAGGGGAGCACGTGGAGAACGTGCGCCGAGCACGTTATTCTCCCCGCGGAGGGGAGCCCGGGTGGTCTTGCTCGTCCGGCGTGACGGACGACAAAAAGGGGCGTAGTGATGTAGCTTGTGCCCGGCGGCCAGTCCTGCTCGTTCGAAAGGGGCGCGTGCCAGGCATGCCCGGTTCGCTTGTTGGGCCGCATTTGGTATTGGGCCTGCCGAGGTGAGGCCCATACCGGAACATATATATATATATATATATATATATATATATATATATATATATATATATATATATATATATATATATATATATATATATATATATATATATATATATATATATATATATATATATATATATATATATATATATATATATATATATATATATATATATATATATATATATATATATATATATATATATATATATATATATATATATATATATATATATATATATATATATATATATATATATATATATATATATATATATCCTATTATTTTATTTTAAAATATATAATATATTTGAATTAATTTTACATATGCTAAAGTTATTTACATACACAATTTTAAAGGACTTCCAAAAATAAACTCAAAAGTTTATGAAATATATATAAAATTTATGAAATAGATAAATTCAAATAAGTAAAATATATCATCCTTTTTAATGTCTTAAAATTTTAGTTAAAATTGTCTTTAGTGCATCTTAGTGATCAAAGCATCTAATTTATATAAAATAATAATTTTAAGTTCATTTCAAACCCAACGTAGATAAACATATTTTATTAATTAAACCAATTTTAATGTACTAGTCAAATATTTATCAAATATAATTAAGAGCAACAACAACTCAAACAAAAGCACAATATTTACAAATACATTTAGCATATTCCAAAATATATATGTAGTAGAACTTGATTGACTTTGTTTGAACTTTATTGACTTTTTCTCATAGTACTCTATTGTTTAAGAGATAAAATTATAAAGATTAAAATCTTTTTTCTCATAGTACTCTATTGTTTAAGAGATAAAATTATAAAGATTAAAATCATACAAGAAGGAATTATTATTAGGGAAGAAAGAGAAGGTTCTTCACTTCATGAATCTGATCCATATACAAGGTTGAAGGAGGGGTCCACAAAGGGGATCTCTCATGAATTCAATTCAATGATGTGGTTCGCCGCTTGAATAGTTGAATACTGACCCACGGCCGACATTCCCCGCCGTCCTACGTGGACTAAAACATATTCACATAATTATCTTCGAAGTGCTTAAAATGTAGGATTTTTTATCCCAGTATCCCTTTTTGAAAAAAAAAATACCAAAATACCCCACTTTAAAATTTTTTTTACCAGTGTACCCCCTTTCTTGTACGGGCTCGTCCATTCATTGGACCAACTACTTTAACCCACTACATGCTCGCCCATTGGAAGGTCGAGCCAGTGGAGAATTTTTAGGCTACATGAGCTCGTCCATTGAAAGGACGAGCGTGTGTAAGTTTGTTTTTTTTAATTTTTTTTTTCTGAATTATATTTATGTATTATTGGATTTATTTATTAAAACATTTAATATTTATTTATTATAATTAATAATAAAATAATAATATAAATTTTAATAAATAATAAAATTTTATTTTTTTTAATTCTTAATTTTATGTATATTTACTTTTTAATACATTTTTTATTTATTTATTTATGAATTGTAAATAATAAAATTACTAATGTTTATTTTTATAAATAATAAAATTACTAATGTTAATTTTTATAAATAATAAAATTTTAATGTTAATTTGAATAAATAATAAAATTTTAAGTATAATTAATACGAAAAATAATGTTAATTATTTTTTAAAAAATAAATTATTAAATAGTCATTGATTAAGAATTAAATGAGTATAAATAATTTGTTATAAATAAATTATTGTTTTCTATAACTAAATTAGATGAGTATAAATAATTAAATAATTATATTGTATACGAATAAAAAAATAATGAATACAGAGTCTCGGTTACTGAATGACCGAGCTCAAACGTTTTTTTTTTTTTATAAATAAGTGTATTGCTCATCACCAAGTATCATTCGTGACCACTTATCTTAATCATAAAAATGTCGGTTGAAGCTCTTGTTTTCTATGGGCCAGAGAAAAAAATCAGTATTAACCTAGATCCTTTGTGGAATTTCAGAACATTGGTTGCAGCAATTAACACCGGATTTCGGCAGCTGGGAGGTCGTCGCGTGACAGTGAGGAAGATTGAGTATCGTTGTCCATATATAACGCTTACCGATGCTAGCCCGGAGGGGACTTATATGTACTACCTAGATCGTATAGAAAACGATGAAGATGTCCATTGCATGTTTTCAGCACATAGCGGCGAAGTAAACAGAGGAGTCACAGATCCACTTGTGTTGGTCGCTGTAGTTTGTTAGATTTTGTGTTGGTCGTTGTTGTTTGTTAGAGTTTATGTTATCTTCTGGTATTTGTTTTTTGTGTTTGCGGAGTCACGGGTCTAATTTATGTTTGTAGTTCGCGTGTGTTTTTGTAATTTTAAAGCTGTTTTGAATTAAAAATATTTGAAGGATTACATACAAAAGTAGTACAATAAATTATCTAGTTGGTCGGTTTGACGGACCGACAACGTTGGGACATTTTCTACGCATATGACCTATTTCTCTACAAATACCACATCTTCTTTGCTCTTTTTCTGCGTCGTCCATCTCAGTTCTAATTCTAGTACTATGTGGACGCCCTTTTTTATTTCTTCTCATGGAATCGTCGTGGCATAGAGTAAAACCTTCATACTTTGGCTAGTTATCCTCGTGCGGTAGTCCCAGGAAGCTCTCCTGGTAGACCTTGAACACGCTTAGAACTTTGAAGACCTCTGGAATGTGAATTGTGTAGTCCTGTCGTATGCTAGAACATGCCTCTATCACGTGAGAGCAAGGCAAGTGAAATGCCTGAAACTTTCCACAGTCACATAATCGACTACGCAAGTCAACACGGAAAGTACCCGTTGGACGACCGTCGTTATAGTTAGTCCTTTCCTGCACCATGAAACAGAATCTTTCGCGATCAAATTGCATGACGTTGTGTGTGTTAGCGTTAGCTACCTCTTCAGCCATGCCTTTGTTACAACCATCTGTAAACACTTTCCCTGAAGATAACATCTTGGTCCATTTGTGACCTCTTTTACCAAAGAGCGAACCCATTCTATAGTACGTAGACTGGACTAATGCAGTGATGGGAAGGTTTCTTGTTGCCTTTAGTACAGAGTTTATTGTCTCTGCCAAGTTAGATGTCATATGTCCCCAACGTTGCCCTCCATCAAATGCTCTGGCCCACTTCTCCCTAGGAATGTTGTCTATCCAGTTCGAAGCCTCAATGTTTGTTTTTCTGATTTCTCCGCGATAGTAATTAAATGTAGCCTCTGTTAATGCGTAACCTATAAGAAAAAGTGTGTGAAAAAATGATAACAGTGTGCTACGAAACTTGAGATAAAAATGTAAAAAATTGTTTTCTTACCCATGTTAACAAGTTTTTTGCGTAGAGCCTTGTCCTTGATCTCGCGCATGAAGTTTTGAGCGATGTGCCTTATGCAGTAGACATGGGAGGATGTTGGTTGAAGCCATCCGTTTTCGGGATTGTTGTATGCACTCTTTATCGATTCGTGTCTATCTGATATTAGACACAAATTTGGTTGCGGTGTCACATGTAGTCTTAGGTTCCTCAGGAAAAAACTCCACGCTTCCTTTGTTTCACCTTCGACCAATGCGAAGGCTATTGGGAAAATATTTGCATTCCCATCTTGTGCCACCGCCATCAATAGAGTTCCTCTGTACTTACCATACAACCAAGTTCCGTCTACCTGCACAATGGGCTTACAGTAGGCGAAGCCACGTATACACGGACGAAATGCCCAAAACAAACGATGAAATATTCGTTTTCCAGAGAGTTGGTAACCTTCATTTGATATCACAGGTAGTGTTTCTAAATCTATAATGGTTCCTGGAAGATGTCTGTATGTTACTTGGTCTGCGAGTTGATGGAACAGCCATCAACGGTCCCACTGAGGTAACAAACTACGTTTACATGGAAAACTTAGGGGTGGAACCTACCGAAGATGAAAAAATAAAATGTTCCATTAAAATAACCTGGCTAGAGGGTTTATACGGAAATTTAAAACAAAAATCTGCCCCTACCCAAGAAGACGTTCTCTTAGAAGCTAAAATATATATTTTACTTGCAATCGCTACAATAATGTTTCCTGACAAAAGTCAGAATCTATTACATTCTTCTTGGATCCCTTTCGTAGGGGATCTTATAAAATGCGGCACCTATAGTTGGGGTTCTGCATGTCTAGCTAAATTGTATAGAGAAATGTGTAAGGCGGCAGTGAAAGATGTTAGGAGCTTGAGCGGATGTGCACTCCTATTAACATCATGGGCATTCACACGTATCCCATTGTTTGCTCCTGTCACTACAGTGGAACCCTCGTATCCATATGCACAAAGGTATTACTTTATTAAAATATTCATTTATGTGTACATTGGGTCAATATTTTTTTATTCAACTATCTCTAACAATATTTTTTATTCAACTATCTCCGACAAAATTTTTTTTGGTAAAAAAGATGGGCGCAACGAGGGATGAACTACCGTGCAAATCCTCGTTTCCATCTCCAAGGTTATCGAAACGCTTTGGACCATATGCAAGAAAACGATGTAAGTTTCAAACCGCGTGGAAATAGTCTTCAATTCAACTCATTATCGGTATATTAATTTCCTTCTTTTTTGCAGTTCATATGGAGACCGTACATCCGATATCCGCTGCCGAGGCTTGAAGATAGTCAAATCTGGAGTGCAACAACATTCCTTATCTGTTTCTATACCGTTGAGATGCATCAAACAGATAGAGTAACACTCCAGTTTGGACTGGATCAACAAATTCCGCCCCCCCCCCCCCAAGGTGTCTAAGAGAACACCACGCCATGACTATGAGAAAGGCACAAAGAGTTAATTGGCGACAATTAAACAACGATGAGCTCAAAGAATGGAGAAACAGGAGACATGTGATTTTACAAGGGGCTGTCGTGTTAGGTGAACGCAAGCCAAGTCAAGAGTATTTAACTTGGTTTCGTGCCATTCCTTATGTGCACATTGCTCCAGACCAATTTTTAACGGACCCACGCTTGCAAGGATCATCATCGACACAACAAACTACGGCATCAATGCATCAGGATGTGCCACCAACCCACACATCCCAACATTCATACCAAAACCAAACACCCAACAACCCACTCCATCAACAAACCTATACCTACCAATACAACCAACAATATCAGCCACAACCATACCTACGACCACCCAGACAGTTCACCCCTGTCCAACCGCCCCTCTTTGACCATACCGACCATCCTTTCCAATATCAACCCTCTAACACAACCTACTCTCAACCCGCCTCGACCATCAACACTACCTATACTCAACCCTCCCAGAACTTTACGCCTAATAACGTCTACTACCCGACCTTTCAACACCCCCCATCCGAAACCTACCCGCCACCACCGCAACCACCACACTCATTCCAACAATTTTGTTGACAGACGAGCAACTGATGCAGATGCCGGATTTTAACATTGATGATCTTCTTGATGAGCAACCGGGACCCTCTTCACGGCCGACAAACCCCCTACAACAAATCACCATGAAGACATGTCTTCTGACTCTTCTGAATCGACTAGAAATGAGCGTTTGGGTAGGGGACATAGACAGCGAAGGATCCCTAGGTGTGGAACTGGGGGACATATTAGATGAATTGTATTTTTATTTTAATCAATGTTAAAATTATTTATTAGTGAGTATTTCATAATTTAATTTTTTATTCATGGGTATTTAATAATTTAATTTTTATTAATTAATTTTTTTTTTTATTGATGAGTATTTTTAATACATAAAATTTTATTATTTATAAAAATAAACATTAGTAATTTTATTATTTACAATTCATAAATAAATAAATAAAAAATGTATTAAAAAATAAATATACATAAAATTAAGAATTAAAAAAAATAAAATTTTATTATTTATTAAAATTTATATTATTATTTTATTATTAATTATAATAAATAAATATTAAATGTTTTAATAAATAAATCCAATAATACATAAATATAATTCAGAAAAAAAAAATTAAAAAAAACAAACTTACACACGCTCGTCCTTTCAATGGACGAGCTCATGCTGCCTAAAATTTCTCCACTGGCTCGTCCTTCCAATGGGCGAGCATGTAGTGGGCTAAAGTAGTTGGTCCAATGAATGGACGAGCCCGTACAAGAAAGGAGGTATACTGGTAAAAAAATTTCAAAGTGGGGTATTTTGGTATTTTTTTTTTCAAAAGAGGGTACTGGGGTAAAAAATCCTAAAATGTACTTCTGCCGTCTATAAAATGCGTTTTATACGAATTAAAAAATTTAATTATTATTTTTTAGAAAGATAAATTATTTATGAATATACAGTAATGTTCTTCCTAATTATACAAGAGAGAAATTAAAAAAGTTAAAAGAATAAATAATAATAAATATTTGAGGGTATATTAGAAAAAATTTGATTAATATTATATTGAGAATGTAAAGTAACTTATAATTTGGAACATATTTTTTTGACAAAATAACTTATAATTTGAGACGGAGAAAGTACTCCCTGCGTCCTACAATAAATTATCTAATTGACCATTTCACAAAAAAATAAAAAAATAAATGAATGAGAGAGAATGACATTTTTACTAAAATATCTCTAGTTTAAAATTAAAAATGATGAAAGTAATATTAATTAGATGGTAGAATTCGTAAAAGTGTATTAGAAATTGAAATGGATTAGTCATTTTAAAATATTTTGTTATTCCAAATACATCACGCATTATGGGACGCAGGGAATACAACTTATAATTTGTATGTGTCCAAGAAAAATTTAAGTTATAAAAATTTTGTAGGTTGTTTGAGAAATAATTATTTAAGTTTGTGACAAATAACAAAAATGGATTTGATTAATTAAAACAAAAGTTTTACATCTATCAAATTTAGAACATATACACAAATTGTTTATTAAGAAACAAGTTTGAGTTCTAAATTTCATATTGCTTAGAAAAGTGGAGGTTGAACATTTTATAAGTAAGATGGCTCATACGCCTACCATCTTAAGGTTTTTGGTGAATATGTGTCTCTCTCACTTGTTTGGGTGAGTCTTTGACCTTTAAGTGAGTCTTTGACTCAATGTGAATGTTTTCTCTCGTGATGAACCATCCGTATTTATTAGATCAAATAGTATATACATCCAAGTCTCATATCGGGTAATAGGAATAGAATAAAATTTGAGTATTAATATAAATAGAGATATTTAGTTTTACTTTTCAACAGAACAACAAAATATCCATCTAAGTCTCATATCAGGTAGTAGGAAGAGAATACAATTTGAGTATTAATATAAATAGAGATAAATAGTTTTGCTTTTCAATAGAACAACAAAATATAGTTTTGTTTTTATGTATTGGAAATTTGGATAGCTGTGTTTAGAGAAGGTTTTATATTTTTCCGTTCAAAGATAGTTTGTTGAGAGGGTTTACAATTTTTCCGTCTAAAAATTATAGTTGAGGGAGAGTTTGCATATTTTCCTGCCAAATATTGTAATTGAGTGAGGGTTTGTATTTTTTCCATCCAAAAATTATAATTGAGAGATGACTTACCATTTTTCCGCTCAAAAATTATAACTGAAAGAGTTTGTAATTTTCTCTTTAAAATTTTTAATTATATGGGAGAATTTGTAATTTTGTACTTGTAAAAATTATAAGTTGAATTATGACTTTATGAGTTTTCTGTTTGAATTTTTTTGCTTCCTTTTCTTTTTTGTGGGTATGCTTCTGCATGCGTAGAATTTTTATTTTATTTCCAACAACTGGAATCAGAGCTAAGGTTTTGATTAAGGGAGGAAGAAATAATAACAATTATTCTGATCAAGGGTGGAATTAGGCAAAAAGATTGAAGAGTTATAATTTTATAAATATGCTTAATCATTATAATTATAATGATTGTTTTGAAGATGAAGTTAATTACAAAATGAAGGTATGTGATACTTTGGATAAAGGAAATATTTGTTGGGCCAAATAATATATTCATCCAAGTCCCATATTAGGTAGTATGAAAAGAATAAAATTTGAGTATTAATAGAAATAGAGATAATTAGTTTTACTTTTTAATAGAACAACAAAATGTAGACTTTTGGGTGTATTAGAAATTTGGGTAGTTGTGTGTCTAGAGAAGATTTTTTATTTTTTCATTCAAAAATAGTTCGTTGAGTGGGTTTGCAATTTTTTCGTCTAAAAATTGTAGTTGAGAGAATGTTTGTAATTTTTCCGTCCAAAAATTGTAATTAAGCGGAGGTTTGCAATTTTTCCGTCCAAAAATTATAATTGAGAGATGATTTGTAATTTTTCCGTCCAAAAATTGTAATTGAAAAGGTTTGCACTTTTCTCCTTAAAAATTGCAATTATATAGGAGAGTTTGTAATTTTGTCCTTGTAAAAATTACAAGTTGAATTATGATTTTATGAGTTTTTTGTTTGAATTTTTTTTTTGTTTTTTGTGGGTATGCTTCTGCATGCGTATAAACTTTTTTATTATTTTTTTAATTTTCCCAACATTGTTTTTATCATTTTTTCTACCAACTTTTTTAAAGGCAAATTATAATTATATATAATAAAAAAGAAATATTGAAATGAATTCAACCAAATATAGATGGGCAAAATGGCAAAAGAAATATTAAAAGTTACACTCAAGAATCTAAGAAAAACAAACTAAAGACAAATAAATACAAGCATAAAAAGCAACAAAAACCACACGAGCCAAACTCTAAGAAAAATCGTCCTCAAAATTACACCACAAAGAAGAACAATATAGATCTAAAGTCATTAGAACTACCAACACTTTATCAAAGACAACCAGGAAAAGAAAGGTACACCCACGCTCGGGGTTTGGCAATATATTTCAATCCGCTATTAATTAATATGAAGAATATTATTAAATCTGTCATCAAAACTCACAAAACCAGGGGGTTGAGTCATATAAACTTCATCACACAAAGTGTCATTCAGAAAGGCAATGTTAATATCAATTTGTTGAATATCCCATATATATGATATAGCAAGGGTAAGAATGAATCTTATAGTTGTGGGCTTGAATACTAAGGAGAAGGTTTTAGTGAAGTCAAAACCTTGGTCTTGATTATAACCCTTAGCAACTAGCCTGGCTTTGTGTTTGTTTCTCGTACCATCAAAATTTTCTTTAATTTTGAACACCTAACGACACCTTGCAACTTTTTTAACAGGTGGCAAAGTGGTTAGAGTTCAGGTTTGATTAGCTTGTAAAGCATTACACTCAGCTTTCTTAGCATTGGCCCATGCAGGGTGCAATGGGGCCTACTTTACACTTGTAGGTTCAGACTCAGTGTGTGTAACAAAGGCTTTAGGCTTAGACTTACCAGTCTTGGCTCTGGTAAGCATAGGGTGTTCATTCTCTAAGATAGGAGGTGGAGGTTTACTTGTGATGATGGAATGTGAGTTAGATGACTCAGAAATGGAAAAAGATGAAGTGGATTCTGACTGAGTTGAGCAAGAGGGAAGACTTAGAGGTTTATTTGTATTTTGTTCTTGATAGTGAGTTATATTTGAGTTTTTTGTTGTCATTGAGTGGAATTGAGATATAGTTTCCAAGGTAAGAAGAGAAGGAAGTTCGGTATCCTCAGGATATTTAGATGCACCATGATATAAACTCGGATTATTACCCTTAGGGTAGTATAGCTGGTGTGATATAGAAGTAGGCTCATTACCCTTAGGGTAATGTGGACGGCCTACTAGTGTACTATATTTTTTTGAGAGTGCAAAAGTAGGGCCATGTTCTGCAACAAAAATGTTGACAGGGCTAGACA